GGTGGAAATTCGACGGAGCTTCTTCACGGCCTCAAGTCCTGTTCACCGGGTGTTAGTAAATTCGATTAATTAGCGGACGATTTGAAAAGCGCGTTTATTTGTAACGCAAACACAAAAATATATAAATGAACTTCTGTGAAAGATAAAAAAACCTTGCATCTCGCGCGACTATTTTGTAGTACACGAGTTTTTTTTCCTAAGTGTTATAAATAAACAACTACACGACTTTCAAATCTTTTGTTAATTTGTGGACACTCTGTATTTGTGTGTTGCCTACCTGCGTATCCTAGATGCAAGAGACATTAAACGACGTTTCAGGTCGGAGTGTTCGTGTGGGGAGGTGAGGAGACGCAGAGGGCCCTCGTGTACGATCCTTATCACAGGGAACAGGTATGGAGGTTCCTTACATACATGCTACTGCACTCGAACACTCTCCACCTGGCGCTCAACGTCGCCATCCAATGTCTTCTGGCGGTCCCTCTCGAACACGAACAAGGACACCTGAGGACCAGCCTCGTCTACCTCGGGGGTGTGCTTGGAGGTAGGCCCAAGTTATCCTTCAGGGATAAGTCCTGAGGGAACTGAATATGGCTGTATTTTGGGTTGTATCGCGGTACACTCTGGTAGAATTATACCGACGTTTCAGAGGTACTTCAATGACATGATTAAGGTAGCAAGTATATCTGAAACGTCGGTAAACTTCTACCAGACTACACAGCTAACGTGAGATCCTGCTGAGGGAAATATTTGGATATAAGAGGGAGTGACAGGAGGATGTAGAAATATGTAATTTGTACTTAATCAAAAATTTATTTTATGAAATGGGTAGGAAATGTAGCACGCGTGGAGAATGACAGATAAAGTTATCTGGACCGAGGAGTCTGTGCAAATGCACCGAAATAGACCACGACCGATCGTTCAGCTCACTTCAGATGTTTTGTGTGTTCTTTTGCTGTAGGGTCGCTTGGCACTTCAATGCTGGAGCCTGAGCTTAAAGTGGTCGGCGCGTCTGGTGGAGTGTACGCACTGCTCATTTCGCAGCTCGCCAACATTTTGCTCGTGAGTAAAGAAACGGGAAGCAGCAGATACGATTTCAATTCATGTGCGGGTTATTGATACTTCCGTCACCCTAATCACCACAGCCCAGGCCATTACTATCAACTTCACGTACAGAACTTCCTTCCCTTTCTTTTTCTTCCGGTGTTTGGTTTTATTTTGATGTACATTTAAACACCGTGCCACGGTAGTCTAGCGGTTAGAACGCTGGCCTAGTAATCCTGGGGTCTCGGGTTCGATTCCCGGCGGTGCCTGGGCAAGGCCGTGGTCTAGGCAACACGGAGTTTTCCTCCGGGGGCTTCCCCGGTATCTCCGTGGCATCCCAACAATTACTGCATTCACACACAGAAGAAGGCAATGGCAAACCACTTCTGGATCATCTGCCAAGAACGTATATGAACAGGTCCCAGTCCGAGAAAAGGATGGAAGGATCCTGTTCATATGGACCTGTCTTCAGACAGAACACTACAAATAGAAACATTTAAATACAAGCGTATACATTGCTTCACTGAATTGCTTTTGTATTGACCAGGCACTTTTTCACGTCAATTTATAAAATAACAGATGGACAGAATTTTCCTCTCGCGTTCTTTTCATTTGCACCGAAATTATGTTCTAGTAACAGGCCAGCGGGTGCCATAAACATTGTCAAAGAACTGACGTCTGCCATGGACGAGGAAGTGTCTTAGCAGTTACTGTTTATTTGTTTTCTGTTGTTTATACCACGAACCTCTTTTTTATACCCCTGTTTCTGTTCTGTGCGACTACAGGCAGCTCCCGTTACGAATTTCCTGTTTGAAACATCTTTCGTGTCTGTGACGCGTATGTGGTTATATTATCAATATTTTCTGTAAACAGGGTGTGTGCACCCACGCGCGTGTTCCACATATAATCTTCCTTTATATCTCACGTCATCTTGCTTCTCTATCTTTCTTCCTTCTTCCGTTCCATGTTCTACAAGTTTCTCATATTACATTTTAGTCACGTGTTTGCCTTCTGGAGTCGTGGATGTTCCATCTTTCATTTGGTAATTTTAATGGACGTGAAAGGCATCTTTGTTTTACGAAACTGCATCCGATACCTTCCTCTACTCCCACAGACTGTCGAATGTCTGTGTATATGTTATGAAAGTATCTGTTTCATATCTCGTCACCAGACTACGAAACAAAAATTATAATATAAATAAAGATAACTAATAAATCTTTGGATAGTCTAACAAAGTTGAAATGTTTGGGAAACTATGTTAATGGTTAACAGATCAAAATTGCATTCATGAAGAAATTAAGAGCAGATCAAATTCTAGGAATGTTTCATACCAGGAATCGCAAAACCGTTTATCTCATCTGCTATCTGAGAACGTGAAGATTAAAATCTTTAAAAAAAACTTTCTTCTTGTTTTGTATGGGTGTGAAATCTGGTCTCTCACATTACGGAAAGAACACAACAGGATGTTTGAGAACAGGGCGCCCCGGAGAATATTTGGAACCAAGAGGGTTGGAGTGACAGGAGAAAACCGCAGTGAGGAACTTCATACAATTCGTGAGCTTAACCAAATATTAAGATGAGATGGGCAAGGAATGTAGCATACGTGGAAATAAGAAATGCGAACAAAATTTTTGGTTGGGACATCCGACGGGAAGAGAATAGGAAGATTCAAGTGTATATTAAAATGGACATTACGAAAATCACGTGGCAGAATGTAGACTGAAATCAGCTGACTCAGGATATGTACCAGTGGCAGGCTTTTGTGAACCTATGGGTTCCACAAACGATGGGGAATTGACTACCTGAGCAACTATCAGATTCTTCTCCGTGGAGTTATGTTTTTTTTACGGTGATGCTCAGAAATACGGACATTTTTAAACAAATACAGCGCCACTTTTCATCTCTTCTACTTATGACCCATGTGTCAGAGGCTGTCTGTACGCGCTGCTCGGATGACTGGGTTTCTATTCCCAGCAGGTCCAAGTATTTTTGTCCTCATCACCACATCCAGACTTTCAATTGTGTCCACCCAACGCCAATGGGTACCCGAGTAACGTAAAGTGGTCGGAGCACGGAGCTGACCACTCGTAATGCTGACTTGTTTTGCTTACTATATTTAGGTCAGACTTGTGACCTACAAACTGAAATATCTTACCTTGTACTTTAGCAGTTTCTCTTCTCACTTCCTTAGTCGACACTACCTTATTTATTACCCATTTCTTTTCCTCCGCCTTCTGTCTTGTATCTCGCTCAAGTGATCCATCTAATCGAACTTTATTAATTTTATCCCATATTCCAAGGCGGCTGACTGGGTCACAGAGTCAGTTTGGAAATTGATACAAAAAACAAAAATATTTGCCTCCGCCAGTAACGGAGCCATCGCTGTTCAACTTGTAGCCAATCACGAAACTGATTTTGATATCCAGATTCTTAAATTGTTACGACGAATTCAACGCAACGACCAAATGCTAACAAATTCAAATTTTTTAAAAATATATTTATTGAATATGACTGTCTTCTGGGTAGCTGTGCCGTGTAGTCTGGTAGAAGTCTACCACGCTACACGATTCAAGAACCCAGAAGACAGCCATCTTCAGACTCACTGCTGTGAAAACCTCAAATCCTACAAAATACTTATCCGTTAGCAAAGTCGCTCACCTCATACCACGACAAAGCAAAGTGCGGACCAACGACCACTCCACTGCTTACAAAAGACTCAGTTTCTTGTGCGCCATGTTGCAGAACTTCGGGGCCCTGCCATACAAGCTCCATCGAGCCGTAGTTGTTGCGGTGCTGGCATTGGCGGACATCGCCGCGTCGCTGTACCACTACTTCTTGCTGGGTAACGTCTGTCCCCGCATCAGCTGGGCAGCGCACTCCAGCGGAGCTCTGGCAGGATTCCTGCTTGGGCTGGTCCTGTTCAAGGGCTCCAAGAAACCGGGCCCTACGGCGGCCCACGAGGAGGAGGAGGACACCTTCGGCTGGACGCGAGTCGCCGTGTGGGTCGCAGCCACGATGCTAGGAGCAGCAGTCTCCGCTGCGGTCATCTGCAACGCGCTACTCACCCCAACGCAACAAACAACAGACTGAAGGATATCGCGTCTGTGGGGAAAGCAATACACAGAATCGCACTCGTAAGCTGACGACCGAGAGGTAACAAGATTTAAAATGTAATAAGGAGGAACATGGAAGAAGAAGAAGAAGAAAAGTCCTCTTTATTTCATGCATGTATTTGATATTATAATAGTTAAATAATAAAAATGTATAAGCATTTTGCGGTTAAGGACGAACTCTTAGATCTGACGCGGACACGAGTTTTCGTACTACGGTCATTTTAAGCCAATCATGTTTTAGCAGTAAAATAAGACGATTATTATGATGGAACAGTGATACCTTATGACGGAAGTAACGGAAGAAAATGCCGCATAATTGTTTATGCCGGACGTAAAAGCAACCGACAATTCTTAGGTTGGTTAATTCCCAAGAGCAGAGATCAGATTTAAATAAAAAATTTGGTTTTGGGCGTTTTAAAACTACGCAGAAGATAACTGATTACTCGACACAGCTGGTCACTATTAAAATATAAATTGGGTAATATCTCAGATTTCGTTCACAGACCGTACGGTTCAAGTACTACTTGCTGGATACATTTCCGAGCTGGCGACAAAGTGGGGGAAATTTATTTGTATTTGCCGTAATAGATTTGTGCTAGCTACGAATAAATTTCAGGACTGAAAAAAAAAAAATCTGGATTGGAGTACGCCTTTCTCGTCACGTTATTTTATAATAAGGATCGTGTCTGTAAAAAAAAAATAAGAAGTAAAAGTTGTCAAGGTAATTTTTTAAAATCTTGACAATAGCCTTGTATTAACACACTGCCAACCTACATAACATAAACATGAAATATTATAAGGTTTATAATAGCAATACCACCACCACCACCAAAAATCTTTTGTAATTTTCCACGACTGTTACATTACATCTTCCATTATACATACGTGGTAGTTGCGTGTGATGCGTATGAATCCGGTGACGTGCGACAGCCCACGAAATCCATATACGTTGTACATAGTTTCATTAAAACCTCAGTGATAAAGATAAAGTTCGATCCAAGCTCATGCGGTCCAAATCTTACAAGTTTGTAATTATTTAAAATTTAAGAAAAAATATTAATATGTGAGCGAAGCATACAAAATTTTTCTCTAAATTTTACAATTCCAAACCTGCGAAGTGAACGTCACACGAATTAAACAGATTCATCTGTATCTAAGATGACAGTCCCAGTTACGAGCATCTTTCGTAATTAATTACCATTTCTGTTCTGTGTTTACTTTGTGCTGTGGGGAGTGTAAATCAGGCACCTCTAGTTAGAAACTTTCCGTTAGCGCTCGTCGTCGACCGTACAAAGTGAAGAACAGACTGATTTACAGATCCAGAAGAATCCAGTAGACATAGAAGTTACGTGAGCGACGGAGAAGTGTGATTTGTGTTTGATGAAACGTAGGAGTGAGAACGTGATAATACTGGAAATACGGGAGACATGAACGCTCTCCGACACACCTGGGCGCGGCGATGTTATCCTTCCAGATTCAATTTGAAATATGTATTACTTTGATATGATCTATGAATAACAGGACATTTAAAATTGACATAAAATTGATATTCGGCTATCACGAATTAAAAAATAACTCTAGACCCGGAAACACCTTCAGTAGTCACAAAAAGAAAATTTGTTTTGGCCGCACTTGTACGGATTACAAAACTAATACAGAAATTGTAGGAGTTGAAAATAGTTGCAGTATTAGAAATAAAATAGAAAATAATAAAACAAAAAATTGTTTGAACATATAGATCGAATGGCAAGAAGCGGGCTACCCAAAATTTTAAGAAATTACGTACCAAAAGTTAGAAGAAGAAGAAGTTGGAGAAGACCTCTGAAGAGGCTTTTGGAAAAGTGAAGCCGGAACAGGCCAACAAATGGCATTTTCCGGTACCCTTTTACGGGTCCCAAAGTTTTTTTGGTTGGCTCGATCTATGGACATTCGGTAGGACTCCTTGGACGAGGGATCGGCCCGTCGCAAGGCCACATCGTTATTTGTATTTTCAATTTAAAATAATTAAAATATGTTACGATAATAACCGCATACAATAGACGTGATCTAAGCAGACGAGTTATTGTTTATATTCATCGACGCACGAATATAAAACTGAATTGTGCTGAAGATCTCGGTTTAATATAAAACATTTCTGAACACGTTGAAAACGATCTGCCAATGTATTTCAATTGTATGTCGCTTAAAGCGTAGTACTTAAAGTTCTTAATAAATTTGTTATGAGTAACTTATATTTCTTTCTGTTTTGGAGTGTAACGATGATGATAAAGATGATGTATGTTTTTTGATAGCCACCTACAAGACTACACGATGTCACAACCTGGAAGGTAACAAACCCACCTGCCGATCAGTTCACATCGTTCATCATATTCCAAAGATCCTCAATCCAGCAAGAGACATCACTTTGAATTGAAATTTGTTACGTCCTCCGAACAAATCAGATTCAAATCAAACAGCAACTTTATTACTGATGACAACTGGACTTGTAACAAGGGCACGGACTGATCAACCACTGTGACCGCAGTTTAGAAGCGTGGACGCATGAACGTACACACTTGCCAGCGTCATAGACATTTTTAAAAATACTACGTTTTACCCAGCACATCATTCAGAGATAAATAGGCTACGTTATCGTACGCCATCCTAGGCGACGAAGCACAGAAAAGAGAATTTTCAGTCGTCAACTTGCTAATGACTTGGTGATATACCTTTACAGAATTTTAACTATTAGATTCTTATTTTTCGCAGACCATTAAATGGTAAACTACACTTAAAAAAATATAATCAAAGTGCGTTCTGTATTATAAAGTACGCGACGGCTAGAGATAGTTTCAGATTCGAAGACGAGAATGAGAAAAACATGGTTAGAGTAGGTAGAATGGCGTAACAATTTGAGACCAGTCCACAAAGTACATTTTTAGCGATGAACATCAAGTCGAAGGGAAATACAATAACATAATTTTTAATTATTTTTAAGTTACTTACCAAACTCATTCTTCTCAACATTCGTAACACATTTGCTTGGAATAAATAAATCGGTGGTTGTCAAACAGTTTCTCTCTTCATCAAAGTGTTCTATTACGTACGGCCAGCAGGAAGTGAGGAAAATGGATCGTTTAAACCAACTCTGAACTAGCTGCCCCACTCTAGATAAGTGTTTATTGTGATCGTGCCGACCCATCATGGTTGCTGTGCGCGTGATCATCCTCGAGTTTGAGACGGAAACAAAAGACCTCTATCAGAAACATGAGAGTAGCCGTCGCGAGGCCAATGCATAAAAGGAGGAACAGATCTTCGAGGTGTACCCAGGTAAGTTGCTGGGGCCCTCTCTGTTGTACAGTGTGGAACAGATGCTTTATTTCTGGATTACCATAATCCTGTACCAGATCAGCCTGCCAATGTTCCACCAAACCAGCTTCAAGTAACCAGCGCATCGCACGACTCACAGGCTGTGTCAGTGACGACCTCTGTCAACAGGAAACACAAGGGAATTTATAGCGAGGGACACATCATCCAGTGGGACCCTGAAATAATGCTTACGTACAAGAATTAAGTTGAACTTTACTTTG